TTCATTATCGATCTTGAACTCTCGTCTCTCGTCGTCGCTTCAAATTCATCAAATTAGTCGCGTTCATAAATACAGAGTTTAACAAACTTAAAGTGTTCAAAAATTTATATCTAAACATTGAATAAAAGCTTAATTTATTTTAACCGAACTAATTTAGAATGTTCAATTTTTTATGTATGAACATTTAATATTTTGCCAGTCTTAACAATTTGAACAAAATTATTTTATTTAAATATTAATAATCGCACATTGTATAAAAGTTCAACTCTGATTATCCGAACACGACGAACAAACTCATCTTCCCAATATACGAATGAGATAAATAAAAAACCAGAAAACTAAGTCATAAACTAACATTCTCAATGTTCAAATCAACGTTTTCAATGTTTATATCAGAACCAACCATCTCAGTGTCATCCATAGTATGCAAATATTCAAAACTAATTGATTTCAATATTCTTAAAACTTAAATCTTCAAAGGTAATAATGTTTTGAGTTTGAAAAATCTGTATAATGGACAAAAAAATGAAGTGAACTAATTAATAATGAATGATATCATAAGTGCATTTCAATGTTGAAGATGATAAAGGAATACAACGTTTATATGTTAAAACCCTAAACCTTATAAGAATGATAGTATGTGAAGAGTATTTTGTGTTTTTAAATATAACTTTTTTGAATGGATATAATACACCTCATATTGTCCTTAATGTCATTTCATTAGAAGATATTATTAAAATATAAATATAATCTATTAACGATATGTACTAAGAGTATTAATGATATATAAATATTGGAAAATGTTAGGAATACCAAATTTTTTACCAAATAAATGACCAAATATTTCACATGGGTCATGTTGTCCTTAATGGTCATTTCATTAGAAGTTATTATAGAAATATAAATTTAATCTATTAATGGTATGTACTGAGAGTATTAATGATATATAAATAGAATCAACTTTAAATTTTGAAAAATGCTATAGGCCCCAAATTTTTTACCAAATGAATGATTAAATGTGATGTGTCACATTTGGTCATTTATTTGGTAGAAAATTTGGTATCTTTAATATTATCCTTAAATTTTTAGTTCGAGTGACCTTTATATACCATCGAGGTTGGTGGCCTAGTGGTGAAGGCATTGCCTTCCCACAGCAGTGAGTCAAGTTCGACTCCTGAGGAGTGTGAAATGTTAGAATTTTCAATGGCTCTCTTTTGAAACCTCGCGCTGTATTTTGATCGAACCTTGGCCCTGCTAGGGAATGGTTGATGAGCATTACTAGTATCTCGGTGGTAAGTCCCTTCCTATGAATTGAGTTAAATCAAGTCGAAAACTAGTTACCACAAATCCCAAGACTGCAGATGTCGTGATGACACCCCAGAACACCCTTTTTTTACATTAAAAAAAAAAAAAGTGGTTACATAGGTAGTGTTTAGTAACGTTTACGTTTTTGGTTTATGTTTATAAAAATTTTATAATTGGTTTATGTTTATTTTTAGAAAAACATAAACTATAAACATGTTTGGTTTGAATAAAATGTTTGAAATTTTTTTAAAATATAAACTAAAAAATATATCTGGTCAGCCCTAAAATATTTATATTTATTTTTTATTATTTATGACAATGGGATTATATACATTATAATTGGAAAAAAAATTATTTGAAAAAAAATATTTTAAAAAAATTAATTGAAAAAAAATTATTAGCCAAATTTTTAAATTTCTATTTAAAAATTATGATAAACTCATTTTTTAAGTTTATATTTTCTCCTCAAATTTATAAACTGAGACAACTATTTATAAATAAAAAAATTATCAAACAAGTTTTACGATAATTTTAAAAATATTTATAAATATAAATTGAAAATTAAACGGTTACCAAACACGGCCATAACAACAAATATAGTATATCGATTACTATTGTATAAATTAAGTTGATCAACTAAACAACTCACAATTCTTCTGAAAGTAATCCTAAAACTGAGCTCAGGATCCAACCCAACATCCAAAAACTCCGACCCATCCGGCTCCTTTTCATACAACCCACCGGGTCTCCCGGGATCCGAAATTGTTGGGTTCGGAGTCTCCAACAGAGAACCCACGCCGCCATTACTGAACCCAGTAGTAGTGAATGTCTTCTTGGCTAGCTGGAAATCGATTCTCCCTTTGAACAGAGACCTGTCGGATGGAGGGTCCGACAACCCATCTGGGTGTGTGTTGATCATGAGATGGGCCTCACTGTAATTGGATCCGAGAGAAGTTTTCGGATCTTTGTACCCAAAACCCTTTTCTCTCTCTAGATGTATTGGGTTGTGTATTGGGTTGTGTGCATATAACTCTCTTTCTCTCTCTACATTACAATCAGAAAGTGAGCTTTTGGGTGTATTTGGTTTAGGGAAAAGTTGGGGTCACGAAAATTTTGTTACGAAAATAATCATAAAAAATTTATGATTTTTAGATTATCTTAATTAGTGTGTGATGTTTTATTCTAAGTGTAATTTAAGGGTTACGAAACTTTTATGATTATGTTTATGAAATTTTTTTTATGATACCTACCATTTCTGTTTGGTTTATGTTTTGAAATAAACTAAGGCTCCGCAAAATATAATTCTACTTATTGATTTGAGTGTGTTGTTTGTTTGGAGCTTTTAAATCATAATTCTATACTTATTTCTTAAAACTCAATTCAAAACATAATCATTATTTTTCAAAACTCATAACCAAACGCATAATTCAAAACTCTTTTTAAAATTAAATTCAAATCAATATTTTAATTTTGTTAAGATTTTCAATATTTTAATATTTAAATATGTTACGATTTTTTTAATTTTTTAATTTTTTGAATATTTTTAAATATTTTAATTTCAAAATATTACGATTTTAATTTTTTAAATTTTAAAATATTTTATAAAAATAAATTCAAACTCTATTTTATAAAAATATTTTTAAATATTTTAATTTTTTTGTTATGTATTTGGTTACGATTTGAGTGTAGAGTTGTGAAAGTAGTATGGAGTTTCGAGTTATATGTTTGGTTATGAGTTTTAAAAATAATTTTTTAATTGAGTTTTGTTTTATGTGTTTGGTTACGATTTGAGTGTAGAGTTGTGAAAATAGTATCCCCCCCCCCCCCCCCCCCCCCCCCCCCCCCCCCCCCCCCCCCCCCCCCCCCCCCCCCCCCCCCCCCCCCCCCCCCCCCCCCCCCCCCCCCCCCCCCCCCCCCCCCCCCCCCCCCCCCCCCCCCCCCCCCCCCCCCCCCCCCCCCCCCCCCCCCCCCCCCCCCCCCCCCCCCCCCCCCCCCCCCCCCCCCCCCCCCCCCCCCCCCCCCCCCCCCACCACCACCACCACCTACTCGCTACCACCCACCACCGCCACTGTCACCCACCCACTCACCTACCACCACCACCACCACCACCCACCCGCCACCACCCGCTACCCACCACCTATCGTCACCACTTTCCACCACCGTCTTTCGCCGTCACTTGCCGCCACTTGTCATTTCTCACTCTTTTTTATATTTTTAAATTTTTTTAAAATATTTTGTCAATTACCAAATGCGTTTGTAGTTTATATTTTTTTAAAAATAAATAAAAACTAATTTATAAAATTTTTATAAATATAAATTAAAAACGTTAACGTTACCAAACAGACCTATCAAATGCAACCTTATCAACCACGCGCATAACAATTCTGTCAATGTGTCACCACCAAACCGCGGCAAATCAAAAAGTAATCATAATAAAATAGACAGGCCGCGTTCTTTCTTTCTTTCTTTCCTTCTTTTATGAACACCTTTATATTTGGGAGAAATGAATTAAAGAAGTACAGAGAGAATATGGAGTTAATGAGGAGGATTCAGGGGTGGTTCAAATATCAAGAATGTCAAGCTCTCGTCGTTCTAGGTAAATATTTATTAGTTGCATCTTTCTTGTGAAGCTTATACTATACTCCAATACTATAGCAAGTAGTTTCGTCTCACACTCTTTTTTATTTTTAAATTTGCATTTCATTTCAAGGTTCTGATATAAATATCATCGGCAGCTGCAACTACTAGATATTGTAATTTACAAGAGCGGTCTGCTCTATTTGCCGTAAATTCAAATCCAATAATTTGTTGCCTTTCCAAGTCCACCAAATAGACCACATCCACAAAGCCCCAATCATCTTATCGTATCTTAGTTAATAAGTAATATAGTAAATGACAAATATATCCTTAAAGTTTATTTAAAATATAAATTAATTTTAAAAATTATAAATATTTCATTATTAGAATTTTTTGTTTAACAGAATTAACTAAAAAAAATTTCTAACTATTTTTTTTATATAATAATAAAATTACCTAAATTATTAATTAAAAAAAAATTGACATCATTAAAAATTATTAATTTAATTGATAATTTATTAATAAAGAGATCTATTTATTATAAAATTAAAAAATTTAATAAATAAAATCTAATTTCTATAACTACATAAAATAATTTATATTTTAAATAAATTTTAAAAATATATATATAATTTACCTTAAATAATAAGAGGCAATAAGAAATAAAAAAATCAAATTGTACAATCACTCTTTAAATTTTATCATATATCACTTGTGATAAATAATTCTAGAGAGGGTCATCTATTTTTTACCTGAATTTCAAAATTACCCTTCTTATTCATTGTTGGAACACCTTATTCCTATTCCTAACTTTATTTATTTATTTATTGTGAACTAGCTATTCCTATTCCTCAACACAATTACAAAATCAAGCAAGCCACCAAATTTGAAATTCCCATCTTATTATTCTTATCCTCGACAAACCCATCCATACTGAACCAATCGAAGCCCCGACCCGACCCGTAACACGCAGTCCCCTCATCCTTTCTTCGGCCGCCATAGCTCCTCTCTACCTCGTCGCCACCCCTGCAGGTCCGTGAACTCAACCGTTGGGATATGGTGGGTTTCAGACAACGATGGGCAGAGGAGGTGGGGCTTCAGGTGTCGATCCAAGGGGTTGATTTTAGAGGTGATGGGTGGGTCAGTTTTGGTAGTGATTTGTTGTTGGATTTGGATGATGGTGGTGGTCGGGTATTTTGGTGGTGGTGGTGGCAGTGGATTGCCAGAGTGAAGGGAGATGATAATTGTTGTGGTGGCGGTACTGTGGTTTGGCGGGCGGTGTAATTGTGGTGGGAAGGCAGGTGATGGGGGTGAGGCTTGTGGCGATGTGATGGTGTGTGGAGGTGAGACCGTGGCGGGAAAAAATGGTTGATGATGGTGGTGTATCTCAAATTACTGAAATGTAATTTTGCCAATTATCAAGGAAGGTCCATGTAACTTGTCCAAACCTTTTTTTTGGGTAAGTAATTATTTTTTTTGGGTAAGTAACTTGTCCAAACCTATTTTATATGTTTCTCAAATTATGCTGTAAAAGTACATTTGATAATAACTTTCCTAGATTTTTCTATGTTGGTTTTAACCTAGAAAAGGAAAATTATGCCGATTCCCTACTTTGTCAATGTAGTCACATTGAATTGAATATTTAACACTTCATGTTATTATAAAATAAGATCTGAATCTTTGTGCTAAAAACCAGAATCTCTATATTGCAGGTCTGATTTACAGCAACAGTATGGCCGTGTATGTCTTGACTAACTTGGTGACCTTCTTGACTCACTATTGGAAGTTAAAGCTCAAGCATGCTGTTGCAATCATGAACATAAAAGGTGGAGCGGCAGGTATCATTGGCTTAGTGGAGGCCACTCTCATAGATGCTTATTTTGGCCACGCTGGGATGTTGCTCATCACAAGTGTTCTTTACAGCATTGTAAGTCGCCGGAATTCTACACACCCCTTTCATTTGTGGCATAGCATTGCTAATTTGCTAGTAGTAGCAGTGAAGATATAGATAAACTACTCTGTTTTGACTGGGAATCAACAACCAAAACTAAACTAGGCTACTCGTGCATTTGCTGAGGTTGATAGGCAGGAATTGTGTCTTTCCTTGCATTTTTCATAGGGAATTATACTTCTTAATTGATTCTCACCGATAGAATAAAACAACTCATAATTTAGCCTTTCTAGAAGCCCTTTGTACATTTTCACTTGCTTTGTCCGACAAATTTAGTCATGGTCTTTGGTGTACATCTAAGTGCGAAGCCAAAGCTCTTACATCAGGCCAGAAAAAAATAAAAAATAAAAATTGGACCATTAATGAATGAAATTTAATACATCATGGCTTTTCAATTGGTGTATTTATATAAATGATGCATGTAAACAATAACCCTTTCTTACTTAAATTCTTTGAATATGCCAATGAATCAAATTTAACTCTAGAACTCAAATCTTGGAACAATACAATGTAAACCTGACTTTCTTAATTTTTTGATCTGAAATGCAATTAAATCTTTGATCAAACACCTTGATCATTTCTTCAAACTAGGTTAACCACTAACCTAGGGTGGCCAAACCACCCACAGTGATTCTTTAGTTGGAAACCACTCAAATCTAGCATCAAAATTAGAGTCAATATGCATACACACTTACCTTACATCAAAGCTGGTCCAAATTAATTTAAAATATTTTTCAAATTTGTCTCTCACTAATGAATAGGAGACAATTTGATGCAGGGATTGGGGTTGCTAGTAATGTCTGTTCCTGGTCGATTCTTTTCCAAGGGTGTAAAGTCGTGTCCAGCAGGGGAGAAATTATGCTCTTCAAAGCTAACTGCTTCACCATTCTATTGGGGATTAGCTTTGATTGTTCTTGCCAAGGCTGGTCAGGGAATATGTTTAAGAGCCCTCACCTTTGGTAAAATAAAATTCAAAAGAGGTCCACCCGAAACGAAGGTAATCAAATTTGGTTTCTTGAAGTTTGAAGTTCGCCGAAGAAAGAAAATCTGTTTTTCTCAAAACAATTTGCCGGATTTGGACTCTTTGGTTCAGATTAAGAACCGTGACACAAATTGAGTCCGAACTGTAGTGAGGCCCAAGGGCGCGTCTACAGTTTCTGGCGACTCTGCTGGGGAGTTTAGAGAGCTTGACTCGAACTCATGATATCCTGTTTTGATTTCATTTACGTGTCTCTTTGCATTGCATGTGCATTGCATGTTCATTTACGTGTCTCTTTTCATTTCATTTACGTGTCTCTTGGCTTAGTGGTTTGGGCTGTGGCCTAAGCTTGAGATCGGGGGTTCGAAACCCCGTATCCCTGCATTTGTGTTTTCTTTCCTTTTTGCATGTTTTGCTTATGCGCGATGACGTCAGCTAACGGAATATTCCGTCGCAGTAACGGCATATGCTCACTGACATACATAGACAGAATATTCCTTGTCAATAACGGCATATTCCCCAAATGTATCTGTGTATATGTACGTATCTATGAATCTTCTCCATATTTGTTCGTTTGTGTCTCTGTATCTTTCGTTCATATTAGTCCTTTGGTGAAAATGTTGTGGAGACACCACGGGTTGAGGTGGTGAGTTGGGAACATGAGGTTGAAGTCCGTGAGAAGTATTCGGACCTTTTTATCGATGTTTGAGAGTTGTGATAGAAATGTTATTTTGATATTAGGATGTAAATTGAATTTTCTTGGGGGAGATTTTATTATAATTTGAGGTTAATCTATTTATTAACTATTTGGGAATTTTAGAACTGTTTCAGTATTAATCTTTATATGTGTCATATTGTGATTGGTTTTGTATATTTCTAGAGTGAGATGTAGACTATTATGTTAACTGGCCTAAAGAGAAGTATTAATACTTGTCAATAAGTGAGTTAGTATAGTAAGAGTTGTTTAATTTGGGTTTGATCTCGTGGGTTATCGTAAGGTTAGTGTGATGCAGAATAGTGTTTGTAAGGTATTGTATGTTTTGTGACGGTTGACGGTTACTATTTGAGTTGGTGGTTAGTGCTTTTGAAGAGTTATTATTTCCTTTCGTCAAGGTCTCGGAACAGTGATAGTTATTTTGGCCTTGGGATGCATCGTGCATTAGGCGATGGAGATAGTTCGTTGAAGTTGGATTATCAACAATAAGGCATGGTGTCTTAGTATTCTGTGGAGTCGTTTTGCCAAAAATTTTGCTATGTTTGAGGAATTAGATCCTATTTTGTTGCTTTGGGTTGTCAATGTGGATAGAAGAGTCACTTAATGGTTTATACTAGTAAGGGTGGTTATAATCATTTGTTGTGCAAAAGTAATGGTTTAGTTCGTTACCGGTGTGACTCGTTGAGACTCATGTAGTAGTCAAAGAATTTTTGTTGATGCATTGGTAAGTACCTGAGTGAGTTTGTGGATGACTGTAGAATGTATTGCATTACTTGAGTTAATTTCGAGGATGAAATTTCTTTAAAGAGGGAAGGTTGTAATGACTCAAAACAAATATATATATAAAGGTAGGGAATATATTCTGATGATGGTTTTTGTGGTGGAGGATTTGATTTTTTTTATAAAAGGGAAGTGAGTGCTGGAGTGGGGTTCAAGCACAGGAAGAAAAAAATATATATATTTTTTTGTGTGTAAAGAGAGGCAACCACGTGGGGGGGGGGGCTGCCCCTTCACTCCTTTCCCTCATTCCTTTTTCTTTTTTTTATTCTTCTTGTTTGAAGCATCCACAATAGTCTTATCTCTCTCTCTGTCTCTGTCTCTCTCTGTCTCTCTCTCTCTCTCTCTCTCTCTTTCTCTCTCTTTCTCCAGTCTCCAATGGCACTCTCCCCCAATCGCCTTCGTGTTCGTGCCACTGCAACTCTCGAATCCAGCAATGGTGTTGTTGCTGTCATCCCCGACAAGGACGAAACCACCTCCTACGGAAGACAATACTTCCCTTCAGCTGCCGTTGTTGGACAGGATGCTATCAAAACAGCTCTTCTGCTTAGGGCTATTGACTGTGAGATTGGAGGTATTGCAATCTTGGGAAAGCGAGGAACAACCAAAACAGTGATGGCACCTAGGTTGCATGCTGTTCTGCCACCTATTGAAGTAGTTGTTGGTTCAATTGCTAATGTTGAAGCAGCCTGCCCGGAAGAGTAAGGTGGGAAGATGGATTGGCTAATAAAGTGGAATATGACCTTACCGGTAATATCAAGACTATGATACTCAGATCTCCTTTTATCCAGATTCCACTCGGTGTCACTGGCGATAGACTTATTGGTTCTGTTGATGTTGAGGAGTATGTGAAATCTGGAACAATTTTTTTCCAGCCTGGCCTTCTTGCTGAAGCTCATAGAGGAGTTCTATACATTGATGGGATTAATCTGTTAGATGAGGGCATTAGTAATTTGCTTCTCAATGTGTTGACTGAGGGAGTTAATATTGCGGAAAGAGAATGGATCAGCTTTCGATATCCATGCAAGCCACTTTTGATTGCTACTTATAACCCAGAAAAGGGTGCTGCACGGGAACATTTGCTGGACCGGATTACAATCAATTTGAGTGCAGATCTTCCAATGAGTTTTGAAGATCGTGTTGCAGCTGTTGAAATTGCAACACAGTTTCAGGAACATAGTAATTAAGTTTTTAAAATGGTTGAGGTAGGGATTTTCCTACACTTCTTTATGTACTTTTACTTGATTATATGGAGTTTAGAGTTGCATATAAATTAATTAGAATTTTTGGAAAATTTGTGATTTATTTGCTTAAAAGGGTAATTTTGAGAAAAATAAAGAGTTGATGCCCAAATTGTGAAAGTGTAAACTTGGAATATGTTTGTATAGTTATGAAAGAGCTATGTTTTAAATTTGAACAAAAACGAACTTCGATTCGATTAGTTTTGAAATTTTTACCGTTTTGCGACCAAAAGAGCATTTTTAAAGAAAACAAAGGAATTACGTTTAACTTTTGGGGCTTTTGATCAAAATAGGATGTCATAGTTGAATAATGCTTGGAGAATGAGTTTGGGAAGAAAATGATGTTTTCTTGGGCATTAACGGTATTATTTTGCTTAATGTATCTGTTGAAATAAAACCAACACGGTTAGAAATGGACCTTGAGAGTTTACCAGACGTGATTGTGATATGAAAACTAGTGTAGTTGTTCATATTTGATGAGATGTGGAATAGATTGTATTTATCGGAATTTTTGGAATTTAATTGTTTAAATATTTGTTTAGAAATATCTATTTTGGGTTATCGGTAGAGGATAGCCATGATTGTTGTAGAAATGCATGAGACTTAGGTAAATTGAACCACATTCCTCATTTGTTGCATTAGACATTGCATTACCTTCATTTCATTGGAAATGTATCTGTTTTTGAGAAATGTTTGGAAATGTATCTATTTGCGAAAAGATGAATACTTAGTGAATCTGGGTAGGGGGTGTGGAACCACGCGGTTAGGTATCGAGCCTTCTAGTTTACTGGTAAAAATGACAGTGGTAGTGCATTAGGGCCTACTTTCAGAAACTCGCCTAGAGATTCACAGGGCCCGTATTCATGTAACAGATATGGTTTAAAATGGAAATGGTTTTATATTTGTTGTTATATCTCAGCATTGCATGCTTTATAAAAAGAGAGATAAACTGTTTTATCATGAGCGTGGCATGAGCATACTCCTCTTTAGTCTTGTCATTGTTCATATGTTGTGTAGTATATCTCTACTGGGCTGTGGCCCACCCTATAAGGGAAATCATTTCAAGTACATGTGCTATGCCTCCACCAAGGCATTGACTTGGGAGGACTTGGAGCTAAGGTTTCATTTTTGTTTTATTGTTATTTGTTCAATGTTAGCCCAGGGCTGTATTTGTGTTGAGTTGAAACTCCATTTTGTTTAACCAAGAATGTTCTTGGATAAATTTGTAAGCATGTAGGGCACTTATTATATGTTTTGCTTCTATTTCATACTTGTTGTAAAATGCATGTTTGGGATTAGAACTGGGGCATTGAGATGTGAACAATATGTATTTGGCATTTGGGATTTAATGGAAATGGGTGTATGGATTAGTTAGCCATATATATGTGTTTGCCTATCAGGTGGGTTTTGTTGCATAAATCGATATATCATGCCCAATTTTTGGGGCGTTACAATGAGAACATGCACAGAAAAATGTAATCAAAAGCTAAATAGCATACTTAATATGATATGAAGATCAACAATTAAAATATTTTGCAAAGACACACATGTTATGTGTTTCACATCTCTACACATTCACACTCTACTAAAATTTCATCTATGTTGTTTTACGTTTTCACAACCAAAATTGGTGATTTCGAAATAAAAATCATACAACCATTCACAATGTGATATTTTACATTTCGTATTTGTATGTTATTGTAGATTTGACAACTACGGTTTCAATAGAGCACAAAGAATGAATTTGAATTGACTTACATTTGGTACACATTTCCAACTATGTGGAATAATCGGTGAGATCAATGTGAATCTTTGAAGTGAGAAAGTATTTTGGTCATCAGCCACGAAATGTTGGAAACAAAACGATACGAAGATGGGTTTAAAGGATAGATAACTATTTTCAATGATTTTAGCATATGAACAAAGTCAAATTCAAATATCAGTAAAGATTTAGGAATTCGGGAGGTAATTTTCTGATTGTGAATAGTTTTTGAATTGATCAAGGCGCGCCCCACACTCCAATTCAATCAAAGTGTTTTGGTCACTATGTCATCTATTATAGGAATATAACAAAATAATTCCGAAGGATTGGAACACACGTAATAGAAAAAGGATTTATGAAAAAATATCACAACAATATATATATATATATATATATACATGTGTGTGTGTGTGTGTTAACTTATATGACATTTTTAAACTTTTAGTGGTGATCTTAGATAATTTGATCTATTCGGTTTTTGAAATTTCTGTATAGATCATTTATATATATAATTCAAAGTTATCTAATAATCGTAATTATATGATTTTATCATATTTATTTTCAAAAAAATAAATGGCAAGTATGATTTAAAAGCTAGATGATTTATTCTTAGGAGTAGATGACTGTATTTGAGGTGAACTAAATGTAGGTAAGCTGATTGTAGGTGAGATGATTTATTCTTGGGAGTAGATAACTGTATTTGAGGTGAACTAAATGTGTGTTAACTGAACTGGTGAATTGTCTGATCCTTCTTAGCCTTGTAACTGGTTACAGTGAGGCAAACACTAGCTGTCCCTAAACAAGATCTCTGACCTTACAAAGTCTTCTGACACGGGTCCAAAGTACTTGGGGGATATCAGAACTTTCTGAAGCTATGGTTTTAGACTACCTAGCAAAAGAAATAAAGAAAAAGCAAACAAAATCAGAAACCGGACAGCACCTTAGCCACAATTTATCAAAATAGATGTGATCATAACTATAGGACTGTACTCATCATTGAATTTTGCCCCATAAACTAATATCAACTGTGCCACTGATATGAGCATTCTTGTGTAGTTTTACTGTAAAGCACATACCAGGTAAAGAGAGCCAAAACACCCCTATGAGGGGGTAGGGTTACTTTGTCCTAGATTCGAAATGATCTAAGGTTTCTGTTAGAAATTGAGCGCCCATGTGGCATGACCCTTTGAACCTTTTGAACCTGAACCTTTTGAACCTTATCTATGTAAGTTTGAATTTGAATTCAAAACTTATTTAGATAACCATTCGGGATATCTATATCTATCATATCAATAGATATGGATAGATGGATAGATAGATATTGGTTGTTATATCTGATTATATATTTTATATATAATATATTTTAATAGATCAGATACGTATATCAAATATATGTTATGTGGTTTTTACCCATAACCTTTTTTCCAAAACTCTCTCTCTGACTCTCTCCCATTAAAACAATGATCAAGCCTCTGCACTGTGACTTGTCTGGGTGATACTCATTTTGTAGTATCACTCCACTGCTGGGTTGATTGATCAGATTCTAGAAGCACGTGATTTACCTACGAGGTTCTTGTCAACAAGGTATGATTCTGATATTTTATCCGCTGCGTTATTATGCTTTATGATTTACATTGGTATCAGAGCCATATGGGTATTTTCGTGCTTATTTTTATGCATTAAAATATGTGTATATTTTTATATAAATA